TGGCAGTTATGTTTATGAGTTTATGATCAACTTACAAACAAATTATACGTGCACCTTATAGAGGTTGTACAATACGTGTCTTAAATAAATTATATAAATTATGCATAAGCCGTAAGGTAGTATTGATGATATGTACTACACGGGCCTCAAACTGAAAGATCATAATAACTTTTTAATTTTGATTGTATAGCAATGAAGTTTCACTTCGAATTTATGACTAGACACATTTAAAAACCAAATAATAATATAATATAACTTTATTATGAGAATGAAAATGGGCTAGGGAGAGCTAAGTAAAAAACTTAAGAGTAGCGGACGTTTAAAGGGAGGAATTTGCTAACCTTTTAAAAATTAGAATAAATATTATAAGATTTAGTTACAAATGCCATCTAAACTATCATTGCATATTGCTAGAGAAATTGCATCGAATAAAGGGGGTGAGTGTCTCTCTGAAAAATATACCAATAATAAAACTCCAATGCTTTGGAGGTGTGCCAAATCTCATGAATGGTTTACAACTCTTGATAATATAAAGTATAAAAAAACATGGTGTCCACAATGTCCTAGAAGATGTCCTACTCGAACCAGAACCATTAAGGATATGCAAATGCTTGCAGAAAAAAAGGATGGTCTTTGCCTTTCAGTTAAGTATATTAATAGACAAGATCCTCTTGAATGGCAATGCAAAAAAGAACATAGATGGAAGGCTTCAGCTAAGGATATTCTCAATGGAACTTGGTGCCGGCAGTGCCGATTTCTCAATATTGATATAGCAAAAAATATTGCACAAGAACGAGGTGGTAAATGCCTTTCTACAGAATATATTAATGCAACTACTCTAATGCTTTGGAGATGCTCTAGAGGCCATGAGTGGTCCGCGCCTCTTAATAGAATAAAGAATATAGGTAGATGGTGTGCACTATGTGCTGGTAATATTCCTTGTGGCCTTATGGAAGCTAAGGAAATTGCTCATAGTAGAGGAGGTATGTGTCTTTCTACGGAATATATAAATCTCTGTGTTCCAATGCAATGGATCTGTAATAAGGGCCATAAGTGGTTTGCAAGCTTTAATGGCATAAAACATGCTAAATCATGGTGTCCATATTGCTTAAATAAACATGAAAATATGTGTCGTGAAATTGTAACAAAAATTATTGGTCCACCTTCTAGCATTCGCAGACCAGATTTCTTGAAAACACAAGAATATCCTCGAGGACTAGAGCTTGATATTTACTATCCGCAGTATGGATTTGCCGTGGAGGTACAAGGTAAACAACATGAGCAATACGTAAAACACTTCCACAAAAATGAGGAAGACTTTGAAAGGCAATTAATGCGTGATCAGCTCAAAAGAGAACTCTGCGATGAGAATTGGATTGTTCTTATTGAGTTATGGTATTATGAAGATCCGCATATAGTTATTCCGAAGTATCTTAAGGAGTTGGGACTTATTGACTAGCAAAGTTGGAAAAAAACAAATATGTAATCTGATTCTAAACTTTCCTATTATTCGATCAAACTTGCCTTAATTTGATACGTTTATGTAATACATTGATTTTCCCACAGATCAACGTATGACCGAAAAATTGTGTAATTGTCCCATGTATATAAATCCAGACCGAGAATTTTTTTTCTACATATCGACATATGTTTTGTACTATTAGAATTAACCTTTACCATTTTTGAAATATTCATAGATATACTTTTTTATATATACAACACAACTAAATAACCATGCCCTATATCACCGAAGTTATGATATTTTGTCTCGTTCTGGGTGACGCAGTCGGAAGTGCTTTCGTGGTCGATATCAAAGAAGACCAGACCATATCACATCTCAAGAAGCTAATAAAGGAAGAGAAAAAAAATGCCTTTGGAAATATTGATGCCAATGACATTATGCTTTGGAAAGTTGATGGTATTCCTATCAGCAGAGAAAACCTAAAAAAGAAAATACGAGACGATATTAATATAGAACAAGAACTTGGAGGCATGATGTTGCCCCCGTCTAATACTATAAAACAATGTTTTCGCGAGTTAACTAATGACATCCAAATCATAATACAACCACCCACCATCACCGGTAAGTGTTCCCGATGTTTTACCTCTCGAACAAGAAATTTGCAGTTATCATTTTTTTTACTCGATTAGGGGGTCGCTTAAAGCCAGGTACATCACGAAATTGTCCGATGATCGACGATCATCGGGAAATCACGGGATTCGGTAAGTGAACTGTTTTTTTT